AGCAACATAGCAAGATGCTGTTACAATCAGTCAATCAGTTGCCAACACTGATGGCCCACACCTGTAACTCAGCTACTCAAGAGACTGAGATCTGAGGATCAAGATTCAAAGCCAGCCCAGGCAGGAAAGTCTCTGAGACTCTTATCTCCAAATATAATGACCAAAAAGCCAAAAGTGGAGCTGTTGTTCAAGTGGTAGAATGGAGCCTTCAGCAGAAAAACTTAAGAGCGAGAGTGCCCTGGCTCTGAGTTCAAGCCCCTGTACTAGTACACAGAAAGAAAACAAAATCTCCATGCTTTGTACATTTGCATAATTTGCTTTAGTATTTTTTTTTCTGAGACTGAATTTAAAAAAACAAAACAAAACTTGGTATATCCTTTTATCAAGACCAAAACGTATTTTTGGTCTTGATAACTTTGCTCTTTAGTACTTTTTAAGAATAGTAAGCTGGGTACCAGTGGCTCACAGCTGCAGTTCTAGCTACTTCAGAGACTGAGATTGGTAGAATTGTGGTTCCAGGTTAGCCTTGGCAGAAAAGTATATGAGACTTGAGACTTTTTCAGCCCAGGCTGGGTATGGTGGCACACACCCATCATCCTAAGTTATGTGGGAGGCTAAAAATTGGGAAGATTGTAGTTCCAGACCAGCTTGGGTAGAAAAATCTAAACTAAGGAAAGCTGGAGGCTGTGGGCATGCCTGTCCTCCAGCTATGACAGGCAGGCAGATCAGGCAGGAAGTGAGACTTAGCTCAAAAACAATCACAAACAAAGGCCAGAAGTGTGACTCAGCAGTATAGCACCTGCCTAGCTAGTGACAGATCCTAGAGTCAAACCCTACTGCCCTGCAAAAACAACAGAAGAATAGTTATGCTTTATTATTATTTTTTTTCTGGTCCTGGGGCTTGAACTCAGGAGCTGCTTTTGCTCAAGCCTAGCACCCTACCACTTTAAGCCACAGCACCACTTCTGGCGTTCTTCAAATGGTTTTGGAGATAAGAGACTCAGAGTCTTTCCTGCCCAGGCTGGCTTCAAACTGGCTTCAAAATTCTTAGATGCTCAGATCTCAGCCTACTGAGTAGCTAGGATTATAGGATTATAAGTATGAACTAGGATTTTAGGCATGAGCTACCAGCACATGGCTTATAAAGCTCTTGATGGTTGTTTACAAATAGTTTATTACATGGTAGATTTTCTTTAGCATATTAATGATCTAAATAGACACTTCTGAGACTTCTGGAGAACAAAACATACATTTACAAAGGCATAAAGTTTAACAAAATACATCAGCTATAATGTTCTTTTTGTTGTTGTTCTTTTTGGGCTTGAACTCAATCCTGAGCACTGTCCCTGAGTTCTTTTGCTCAAGATTAATGCTATACCGCTTTCAGCCACAGCATCAGTTTTCTGATGGTTAATTGGAGATAAGAGTCTCATGGACTTTCCTGGCCAGGCTGGTTTTCAACTGTGATCCTCAGACCTCAGCCCCTTGAGTAGCTAGGATTACAGGTGTGAGCCCCTGGCACCTGGCTATAATAAATGTTTTTGCCTAAATTTCCTGTGTATAATAATCACAATAAATTAAGTGTGTTCAACATGAGTCCTGTATGCAGTGCCCAGTACTGACTGTGGGGTGGCTTTCCTGTCATTTTAGGACTACTATAATTCAATGGTTGGACTCACCAACATCAAAAAAGCTATTGAAGAAGCTGAAAGACTCTCTGAGAGCCTTAAACTCAGGTACAACCATTATTATGAAATCTTTATAAAAATGTAAACTTAGAGAATAAAGAAAATACTTAAAGCTTTATCCTTTGTATCTGACTGTGCATATAATACCTCAGTTCTTAGACCTAAGTCCGTGTTAATTGGGACGGCCTGGCATAATCTGTAATCTCAGCCACTAGGTAGGATCACAGTTCAAGGCTAGCCTTAGCAATCTTTTTTTTTTTTTCCTTTTGGCCAATCGTGGGGCTTGAACTCAGGGCCTGGGCACTGTCCCTGAGCTGCTTTTGTTCAAGGCTAGCACTCTACCACTGGAGCCACAGCACCACTTCCAGCTTTTTCTGTGTATGTGGTACTGAGGAATTGAACCCAGGCCTTCATGCATGTTAGGCAAGCACTCTACCACTAAGCCACCTTCCTAGCCCTGGGACCCAATCTTAACAAGATGGGCTTGGTGGTGTGGTATACATCTGTATTCCCTCTGTAGGAAGTAGCGGTAAGAGAATTACAGTCTGAGGCTAGCCCTAAGCAAAATGAAAAAAAAAAAAATTAACGAAAATAAGATATTGCTGCAGGCATGGCTCAAGTAGTAGAGTCCCTGCCTGGCAGGTATGAACCCCAGTACTGCCAAAAATAAAATCTTATAGTATATTCCTATATTCTTAGGGTTTAGAGTTATAGATTATTAAAGTAAGTATCAGTGTATTTGGTATGAAATCAAGCCTTTTTTTTTTGGGTCCTGTCATGGGACCTGAACTCTGGGCCTGGGCACTGTCCCTCAGCTCTTCAGCTCAAGGTTAGCACTCTACCACTTGAGCCACAGCGCCACTTCCGGCTTTTTTTTTTCTTTTTGCTTATGTGGTGCTGAAGAATCGAACCCAGGGCTTCATGCATGCAAAGCAAGCGCTCTACCACTGAGCCACCTTCCCAGCCCCAGAATTTATAAATTTCTAACAAGATTCTTTTTTTTTTTTTTTGTCAGTTGTGGGGGCTGAACTCTGGGCCTGGACGCTGTCCCTCAGATCTTCAGCTGAAGGCTAGTGCCCTACCACTTGAGCCACAGCACCACTTCTGCCTTTTTTCTGCTTATGTAGTGCTGAAGAATCGAACCCAGGGCTTCATGCATGCAAAGCAAGCGCTCTACCACTGAGCCACCTTCCCAGCCCCATCTGACAGGATTCTTTAGGAAAGTAAGTTTTCAGCTGTCCCATGTGCAATATACTACTGGAAACTGGTCTTTTAAGAATGAAGTATGAAGTACTCATTTTGATATGCACATATTGAATTACAAAAATTGAGTATTTTTTTAAAGTCACATTTTGATGGCAAGGTGCCAGTGGCTCATCCCTGTAATCTAGGATTAGGAGTTAATTAGGAGGCTGAGACCCAAGGATTTGTGGTTCAAAGCCAGTCCAGGTCAGGAAGTGAGATTGTGAGGCTCTTATCTCCAGTTAATCACCAAAAGCTAGAAGGGGAGCTGTGGCGTGAGTGGTGGGGCACTTGATGAGCAAAAACCCTCAGGGACAGTGCATAGACCCTGATTCAAGCCTCAAAAGTGGAATCCTAAAAAACCCCCATGCATTTTGAGTTGTCACTGGCAGCTCATGTATATAATCCTAGCTGTTCAAGTATCTGAAACCTGAGAGTTGGAGGCATGGCTTACGAGGTAGAGATACCAGAGTGGTGATAAGCAAGAAAGCCAGGTTAAAGTGTGAGGCCCTGAGTTGCAGCTACCCCACCGCCACCCCCTTCCCCCACAAAATCAAATTCTGGAATTTGCCATAACTAGCCTACCAAGCTTATGAAATAATTACAAACTAAGTACAGTATGTGTCGGGAGGAAAAGCCAAAAGAACAAGTTGATCTTGGTTTCCCAGGGATAGCCCAATAATAGTTAGGAGAGAAAACAAATGTCCATGACAGCTTGTTAATTTGTGTATAGCTAGGGTTTATTTCTTTTAGTTTATTTCTTTTTAGCCTGGTCTTGCTATATAGCCCAAACTGACTAGACCTTACCCTCCTCCCACCTATGCCTCCTGAGTACTGGGATTATGGAATTGTGCCAGTAGACAGAGCTAAAAATAAATTTGAAGCATATTTTTTGTTTTTTG